GAGGCTGAGGCAGGAGACTCGCTTGAGCCCAGGAGTTGGAGGTTGCTGTGAGCATGATGCCATGGCACTCTACCCAGGGGGATAGCTTGAGGCTCTTGTCTCAAAAAAAAAAAAAAAAAAGAATTCGTTTTATAGGAGTATTTGTACATAAAATGTTTTAACTTTTGTCTGGATAGGTTTTTCATCACACACACAAAAAATTACTAAACCTCTCTACTTTTTTTTTTTTTCCTTACTTTACCAGGTTTAATTGTCCAAAATGTGGGGCTGTTGGTGAAGATGAAAATGTCAGCTATAGATATAAACTTTCTTTACAAGTTGTAGAATCAAACAAATTGTTTGTCATTACCATATTTGGAAGCTGCTTGGATACATTTTTTGGTCTGACTGCCACTGATTTGCACAAGTAAGATTTAAAGCATTCTTTTTTCTGACTGCCTCTTCAGAAGGACAATAGAATTTGAAATATGTATTTTAAGGAAATATCCATTTGGGAAAAGGTGATCTTACCACCTTAGATCGTCAGTTTCTTTAAAATATAATCAAGTGAGGGAAAGAAACATAACTTATTTCCTGAATGTATATTTTGAGGATGTTAAACCAGTTTCCTTTTATTCAGGGTAACTAAGCTGTAATTAGGATATTAAATTATAATACTCTAAGTTAAAGAAATATAGACTAAGAAAATAAAATCATTTAAAATTGAAGGAATAGCCAAAGGTTAGCATTCTAGTGGTTAAGTTCCCCTGAGGGGAAAGAAGCTATTTGAGAGAATATTTGCATAGCAGAAGTTGAAATTCTGTTATTTTTTTCACTTTCATTGCAATGTCATCCACATAAATTAACCTAGTAAGATGTTGCCCTCAGAGTGTAAGGATAGACAGAAGCAGTTAAAGCTTTTCTCCCCTCAGTCTTCTGCCTTTCTCCCCTAAACACTTGGCAGGAAAAAAAAAAATCTATATCCATGTGCTTGTAGTTGAGGACAAACTAATTTGAGAAAGGGACAGTAAAGGAACCACACAGCCAGGACTGTTGGAGACAAGGAAGGATTTCCCTCAACTTTAAGGTGAAGGGCCAGAGGTACCACCGCTACTCCCACTGCCGCTTTTATTTTTCCCTAAAATAACTGCTGATTAGGCAGGTCGGTTTGGTCTTTCTGTACTGTAAGAAACTAGAGGGAACAAAATGCCCAACTCTAAAGTCACGTTTTTATCTAAACACGGTGGCCATAAAGTCCGTGTGCAATTTAAAACAGTGTGTGCTTTAAAATTATACATGAACTTTTATGGCCACCCTATATATAACTCAAAAAGTTCAATGCTACATTTTCAAACTAATTACATCTTTTGACTTTATGACAAAATTAAAAGTTTAAAGGTTGTCTTAAAATTTTTTGTGTCCTTTCCAATCAAGGTACCTTCAGGAATCTAATAAAATTTCAGAAACACTGGACAATGATACAACTCAGAACCTGTTAACTAAAGCAGTTGAAACTTGCTTTGTTGGACGAACCTTTAATTTTGGAGTGACGGTAATTGGGATTATCTTCCTTCTTAGTATGTTAACATTTTCATTCAATTATTTGAATTTTCTAAATAGTGTTTAGGAGTTACATAAGTGTGAAGACCTACAGAAGCACTTTTAGGCATGATAAAAATAGCCTGTAAATGATCTGTTAAAACATCATGTGTGACAACTTCCTCTTTCCAAATTCAGAAGAGCCTGCTTCAAATGCTTTCATAGCTTCAAAAAGTAAATTTATCATAAATTCAGAAATGTTTAAATATTTGATTTGACATTTGTTATTTCTCCAAATATTGTTCAAATTCTGTAATAAAACTTTCATCAACTGTCTAGCTTTTTAATTCTGTTATCTGTAAAATAAGAAGGAAGGAATTAACATTGAAGGCAAAGTATCTCTATTGATAAGAATGCTAAAAATTGATTAAGAAGGATAGTCTTACCTAATTCTAAAAGTGAGAAGTAAAAGAATGTACTGAAGGAGTAACAATTTTCTGTTTCATCTATGCTAACAGGAACAAATAGAAATTTTGTTCACACTGGACTCAATGTTTTAAAAAGGGAAATAACTCACTCCAGAACTGAATAGCAAGAAAAACACAAAAGAAGATGAGACCTAATCTTTTTCTTTCTCTCTCCCTCTCTCTCTCTTCTTCCTTCCTTCCCTCCTCCTTTCTCCCTCCCTCCCTCCACCTCTCTCATTCTCTTTCTTTCTTCCTTTATTTCTCAAGTGAAGACATTTCCTTAAACACTCGAAGTTTATGGAAGCTAATGGATAATACAATAGTAGATACTTTTTACTGAGCCCAGTCCAGTTTTCCCGCATTTCTGCTAACACATTATTATCTTTAATTTGTAAATGAGAAAACTAAAGCTCAGAGAGGTGAAATAATTTGTCCAAAGTCCCACAATTACTAGTAAACACCAGAACCAGGATTTGAAGATAAGCCTTTATTCTCTAATGTATGCTACTTTGCCTACACACATAACATTAAAGGAATTAAAATGGGGGGGGGGAGGTAATGGTTATATCTGCTTTAACTTTTTAAATCCCTGTTTTATATTTGAGTCAAAGGAAGAAAATTTTATCCTGTTTGTTTACTTTCACAGAATTTTGAAAACGAACATGGACAAGTTTCAGATGTCAGTTACTTCTTGCAACCATGTCCTGACCACAAAAGAGAAGTGAAGACACTGGTAGCTTGCCAGATTGTTCTACCAGACCCGAGTCTTGTAGGCTTCACAGTCATTGACTACTTCCATCAGTTTTTGCAGACTTTCAGGAAACTTCACTGTGGCTCCCAGGTACCTAATAGCCACTTACTTGCTTTAGATCACTCAAACAGTGGTCTCAGCAGCATATGTGGCTCTGATAACACTTCTTATTTTTTTGAGTTCTGCAGCAGAGATAATTTTTCAAGATTCTGGCAGCCATCGCTTGAACTTACTTCCATTAGTTCACATCTAACAGATAATGATGATTTTTTAGCTGCAGAGCAAAGTAAGGTCTTTGGTATTCTTCACCAGAACAGAAAGTGCATCTCTAATGCAGAGGCCTCAGGTTCCAAGAGCTGCCATGATCCCATTCAGGGTTCATGGAGCCTTGTTTCATATATGGATAAAAAGAGTACAGCAGAAAAGTTGAGTGAAGAATTTGATTTACAAGCTAGTCATCCAAGTGCAAGTAACAGCAATCATCATGAAATTGGATTTACTGACTCTAACTTACTCCCTTTGAAAATGGGAGAGCCCCTTGAGTCAAGTGACACAAAATCTTTCTACAATACAGTGGAAATTAAAAATAGATATTCCCAGCATGAGATACAGTGTTACCATGATGTCAATACCCCCACCAGCCTTCAAGAGAGATCTGCATGTTGTCCACTTTCATCACGCAGATTTGAGGAGTTAGCCAGCAGCTCCCAGAATTGTGACCCTGAAAATTGGGATGATCTACCATTCTCTGAAAGCCTGGACAAGTTTCTGGCAGCTATCGAAAATGAGATCCCTGTAACCCAGACAAATGCCAGTAATAGGAAACATGTAGATAATGACATCAATAAATTGAAAGCAGACCACAGCAAGTTAACCATGTCTCCCCAGAGAACTACTACACTGCATACACCACCTGTAGCTTTAAGATCATCACAAGTAACAATCAAAGCAAACTCCAGCAAGGATAACTTTTTTAACTGTGAGGCAAATCCAAGTCCTAGTGTTCAAAAGGAGTCACAGTCAGATAACACAGAAGAGGCCATCTCTATAAGTAACAATAGAAAAGATACTTGGGGATATTTTCTACCAAACACTTATCTGTCAGCTCTGTTTTCATCTTCAAATGATTCACGAACAGCAGTTACTCTTAAGAAAACTGTAAGAATTCTATCACATAGGGATAAAATTCTACTTAAATCCAATACTTCAGAGAGAGACCATCCTTTTCTCAATATCAAATGTAAGGAGTCACAAGAAAACTCACTTTCAGAAATGAATGAAAAGTTGACTTCATGTTCTAGGAAGCATAACAACATCTTTGATCTTCACAAATTAGAAAATAAGCAATCTTATAGGTGGCCAAAGAACCAAGATGACAGTTTTACTGTTTGCAGGAAACTCACATATCCTTTAGAAACTCTTTGCAATAGTCTAAATACAAGTACAAGTACAATGAAAGAAAAGCTTTGTGGACATACCAGTAGGAACATAACACAGAGCTATCCTACTGGTTATGAAGGCAGCTACAACGCTTCTGCTGATCTCTTTGATGATATTGTTAAAGAAATGGACATTGCAACAGAAATTACCAAAAAGTCTCAGGCTATTTTGTCACAGTGTGGAATGTCTTTGGCAGAAAGTCATCCTTCAGGGTCTGATTTTTCACCGAGATCAATTTCTGAAAATGCCAGCCTGCCTTCACAAAAACGTGCCTTGCAAAGCGTGTCTGCCCGCAGGCATCCAGTAACATTCTCTCCTCTACCTCATTTTCAGTCAGATTCAGAATATAATTTCGAAGACAGCCAAGACTTTGTTCCATGTTCACAATCAACTCCAATTACAGGGTTCCACCAAACAAGAATTTATGGGATAAATGGACCTTTAAAAAAATTACCTACCTTTTATACAGATTTCAATGTTAACTATGAAAAAACAAGAATTTCCCCTGAATGTGACAAACAGCTAGCCATCCCCAGCTGTCCAAAAAGTACAAAACCGCCTAGGCAGCAATCCAGAAGCCCTATTACGTCTGGTATTGCAGAACCAGAGGTTTGTAACCACTCCCCTGTTGCTGAGTGCATTGAAACTAGTATTGATGAATGGATCCCTCCTACCACACAAAAAGTTTTTCTTTCAGATGTGCCTGGATTCCCAGTCATGGCTGTAAGGAAATATTTTGCTACCCATATTTCCCCTGATCAAAAAGAGTTACCAAGAAAGAAACTGAAACCTGTCAGGAGGAGAACTGACAAATGTTTTAAAAAGGAGTTGAACAATATGCTCACAGCAACAGTTACAAAACAGAATACTCCGAAATATGACTGTGAAAGTCCAGGCTGGATTTCTCGATGTCCAGATGCTCAAGTCTTAGAAGCACCTCAGTTGCACCCTGTTCTTGGACTTGCTTGTTCGGAAGTCAAACGTTGCCTTCTATTTTCAGAAAATTGTCCACCTTCCGTGTCTGAAACTAGAAGCTCTTGGTCACCAGAATTGTTTTCAGAAAAAATCACCTGAACCCAATTCCTGACAGATATTTGTGCACTTTATTATGTACTGTTCATTGTATGTCAGTAATATTGTTAATACTGCTTCTTAAAGTATTTGTTAAAAGCACACGTACAACCAGAAATAAAGCTTTTTAAAACCAAAACATAGTCTCTTAATGGTTCAGTTCAGACCAGAAATGCCTGGGAGGCCAAGTACTGTGCTGGGTTTGTGATAGGAAGCTACAGGATCACTGACCTCAAAATATTTTAATCTGGATAAGACAGACATCTATAAAGATAATTCCTTTTTTTTTTTTTTTTTGAGACAGTGTCACTATGTTGTTCTCAGTAGAGTGCTTGAGTATCACAGCTCACAGCAACCTCCAAACTCTTGGGCTTAAGCAATTCTCTTGCCTCAGACTACAGGTGCCCACCACAACACCTGGCTACTCTTGGTTGCAGTTGTTATTATTATTTAGCAGATCCGGGCCAGCCTCAGTGTATGTGGCTGGCTCCCTACTCACTGAGGTATAGGCGCCAAGCCCAAGATAATTTTAACACACTGCATGACACAGGTTTGCAGTGAACATGACACACTTAACGTTGCTGTGGCAGCATGGAAGAAAAGCAGGTTATCAGTGACCTCGAGCCAAAAGGAGAGGTCAATGATCTATGTGTATATGACTGAATAAAAGTAAAAAAAAAAAAAAAAAGAAATCTACTAGAAAAAAATAAATAAAAACTTAACTATTTACAAATTATGTGTGAAACTCACTATTTTATTTGGTTAAGTATTCATTGGATGTTTAGTACCTGTTAAGCACTGTCCTCAGTGCTGGAAACTGACAGATGAAAGTCAATCCTTTTACCTTAAACTTAAGGTCAGAATAATCAGAATCTGGTAGGAGGTTTTATTAAAATAAACTTGGAGTGCTGACAGGAGCAAAATGGGTAGTTTTCAGACACTTGAGTCTCAGTGGCATCTCAACTGTACCCTTGTGGAAACTTTTACATATCCTGGGGCAGCTTCCTTTGGTAACTTCCCACAACAGCCATTCCAAATCATCACTTTTTTTTCTTTTTTTGACACAGCCTCAAGCTGTCACCCTGCTGTCATTGTAGCTCACAGCAACCTCCAACTCCTGGACTCAAGTGATTCTCCTGCCTCTGCCTCCCAAGTAGCTGGGACTACAGGCACCTGCCACAACACCAGTCTATTTTTTGGGTTGCAGCTGTCATTGTTTGGCAGGCCTAGGTATAGATTCAAACCTGCCAGCTTAGATGTATGTGGCTGGCACCTTAGCCACTTGAACCACAGGCGCCAAGCCTTCCTTTTTTTTTTTTTTTTGAGACAGAGTTTTACTTGGTCACCCTGGATAAAGTACCATAGCAACATAGCCCACAGCAACCTCAGTCACTTGGGCTCAAGTGATCCTCTTGCCTCAGCCTCTCAAGTAGCTGGGAATATAGGTGCCTGCCACAAGGCCCTGCTAATTTTTCTATTTTTAGTAGAGATGGGGTCTCACACTTGGTTAGGCTGGTTTCAAACTCCTGAGGTCAAGCAATCCACACTCAGCCTCCCAGAGTGCTAAGATTACAGGTGTGAACCACCATGCCAGCCCAAATCATCACTTTTTTTGAGACACTTTATCACCCTTGGCAGCGTGCTATGGTGTCACAGTTCACAGCAACCTCCAACTCCTGAACTCAAGTGACTCTCTTGCCTCATCCTCCCACATAGCTGGGGCTACACGTATGAGCCACAATGCCTTTCTTCCAAATCATCACTTCATGTCAGCAATCTACGGCTACTCTGTGTCTCCATGGAGAATAATGAGATCCCTGGATATTCCCTCAGCTTTTTGCACCAATAACTACCCACCTGTGTTTATCTGTACTTACCCACAGCTTCTGTCTTCTAATCTCAGAAAATAATGCATACCTTCTTAGTGCTCATCTTTCTATTTGGTCTATTGGCTTGGCGCCTGTGGCTCAAGCAGCTAAGGCGCCAATCACATACACCTGAGCTGGCCTGTTCTGATCCAGCCCCAGTCCACCAAACTGATGGCTGCAACCAAAAAATAGCTGGGCGTTGTGGTGGGCACCTGTAGTCCCAGCTACTTGGGAGGCTGAGGCAGGAGAATCACTTGAGCCCAGGAGTTGGAGGTTGCTGTGAGCTGTAACGCCACGGCATTCTACCCAGGGCGACAGTTTGAGGCTCTGTATCAAAAAAAAAAAACAACAACAAAAAGCTATCTATTTGGTCTATTGATTGTTTACACCCATCTTTGAAATCTTGTACTGAATATTCTCTCCTGTATTTTACCTTGTTCTACTGGGTCTTTGTCCCATACCAATTTTTCACTGTGAAAAATTGCCTTTTGTATGCGTGTTTGCTTTCTGTGTGTCTATGTAGATACACAATACTTTTGTTTTAACAGTTTTAAGAGTAAGCTGTAGGCAGGACATTTCACCTCTACATACTTTAACGTGGTTCTGTACTGCAGTGGCTATCACTGAGCATCATATTTGGCTTGGAATTCCTTGCAGGAAAGGGCAATATTTGAATATAATTTAAGCACATCAGCTTTATAAATAGGAGATTTTTTATGGCATCCCCAGCATTGAATTCTAAGCAAGACATTTTATGGGACCTTAAGTAGAAGACGCAGACTAGAAGCTTCTACCTCAACTTTAAGGAACACATACTAACTAGGTAATCTTTTTCTTTTTTGGCAGTTTTTGGCCAGAGCTGGGTTTGAACCCTCCACCTCTGGCATATGGGACTGGCGCCCTACTCCTTTGAGCCACAGGCACCGCCCCCTAACTAGATAATCTTCGTAGACTTATCAGCTATCTTTACAACCTCATGTTTCTACAGTATCTTTTTGTTTGGTTGTTCTATCAGCAGTGCCAAATACATAGAAAACAAATGGTGTTTGTTGTATGAATTCTTAAATTCAGAGATGCTGCTAATCTCTATTTAACGTTTAATAACAAAGGAGGCAAAATTGAGTAATAGAAAATTTTTCTTTTACTAAATTACTATGTGGTATGTGTGTTTTATTATAGAATGCCTTAGATTATTTTTGAAAGGGAGTGGTAAATTTATATGAGTATATATATAAGTTTAAAAAGATAGTCCACGGCTGGGCATGGTGGCTTATGCCTGTAATCCTAGCACTCTGGGAGGCCAAGCTGAGTGGACTGCTTGAGCTAAGGAGTTTGAGACCAGACTGAGCAAAATGAGAACCCCCTCTCTACTGAAAATAGAAAAACTAGCCTGGTGTTGTGGCAGGCACCTGTAGTCCTAGCTACTCAGGAGGCTGAAGCAAGAGGAACTCTTAAGCCCAAGACTTTGAGGTTGCTGTGAGCTATGACGCCACCACACTCTATCCAGGGTGACAAAGTGAGAATCATCTCAAAAATAAAAAATAACTAAAAAGCTAGTATAACTTAAGTCTATTAAGAGATTGTTACCATTTAATGAGTGAAATATCTATTTACTCAGATGTTAACTGCTCAGGAGAGAAAAAGGTAACTTTTGAGGTCAGTGCCTGTGGCTCAAGGAGTAGGGCTCTGGCCCCATATACCGGAGGTGGTGGGTTCAAACCCAGCCCTGGCCAAAAAGCTGCAAAAAAAAAAAAGAGGTAACTTTTGAGTGTTTACCAAGGACAATGTAAAACACTATTTTTTCAATTTTCCGTGACAATTAAAGCCATATCTATTCTGTTACAGACTTATTATCTATTGGTTATGTGATATTATAACCAACCAGATTTTCCTTTTAGTGGCTAATCTTGAGACTCAATAAACCATTCATTTGTTGAGGACATACGTATATGGTAGGCCCTGTGTTTATATTATTCATTAAAAGTAGTCAGCAAATTACTTATTGAGTTCTACATGGGTGAACTCATGGGAATTTAGGAATTTATCCCACAAATATATAAGGAAGTATAAAAAAATTCCATAAAAGGCTCGGCGCCTGTGGCTCGAGTGGCTAAGGCGCCAGCCATGTACACCCAAGGTGGCGAGTTCGAATCCAGCCCAGGCCCGCCAAACAACGATGATGGCTACAACCAAAAAATAGCCGGGTGTTGTGGTGGGCGCCACTGGTCCCAGCTACTCAGGAGGCTGAGGCAGGAGACTCGCTTGAGCCCAGGAGTTGGAGGTTGCTGTGAGCTGTGATGCCATGGCACTCTACCCAGGGGGACAGCTTGAGGCTCTGTCTCAAAAAAAAAAAAATTTTTTTTATAAAACAAAGTAGTAAAATAAATCATCATCATGCATAAGGAATTTCATATGTGCAGAATATTGCTGGAAGTATATACCCCAGAAATAGGTGAAAAAATTAGACATCAGAATATATAGTACTTTCATAAAGATATATATATAATATATATATATCATGAGTTATGATTTTAAAAACTAGTCACCTTCAGATAGTACAGAACCAACTCATTAACTGATAAAAACAAGGGAAAATTTTTAAATTTATCTTGCTTTTATGATATAAATTATACCATTGAACAATCAAATAGTTGAAGGGAAGTTCTCTTTGTAAAAATGTTTCAATGCATTAATTAAACAATGGAAATAGAATATCACCACTTTGCCACCTCTAAGAAATGATGGCTGTTGCCAAATGTACAACTGACAAAACATGCGGACTCTGCAGCATAAAAATAAAATCCAAACTGGGAAACTCGAGGCCAAACTGCAGCCCATATTCATTAACATGGCGGACGTGATGTTCATCAACACAATTGTAAGAAGAAAAGGATGGAGGAGAAACCTGTAAATTCACTTAAAAGGTAATGTGAATTTCTTTTTTTAATTTTTATTGTGTGAATTGCTTTTTAGTTCTCAAGATGAGAACTTAAGTGACTTCAGATGTACACGTGGGTGCATCTCTTCCTTAATTACTATGAAAGTCAAAATACCCATTACAGTAGGACCTCCACAGTTGACCACCTCTCTACATTGACCACCTCCTTAAATAGACCTAATTTTTACAGAGTAGAC